ACTTCTGCATCTTTCAAATTCTTAAGGGTAGTTCTGTAATCCCTCTAGGTAAGAGCTGACTACTTTGGTAGGCAGATAAAACTCTAGTAGCTTCCACCTGACTTCCCCTCACTTCCACAGGTCCACAAACCAATGTGGGATCTCAGTTAGTTGTTGAATATGTCCACTCTAATTATGCATTCCAGGAATATGGAAATAACCACATTGGCCCCACTGTTATTTGGCTCTAAGCCAAAACTCCACTGACTGATGGAAAACAGTGGCATTTGGGTGTTCTAGAACTCATTACGTTCTGAGTCAATATTCAGCAATCCCCAAAAAGTCTAAATATTTCTCATTACCCAAAGTCCATTACTCTAGTAAATGGCCACAGGTTTTTTGTGGGGAAGCCTAGAGGGAGATCAACAGCATAAATTCTGGCTGTATAGCAGGACCTGGCTTTCCCTTCATTTAAAGGTTGTTAGATCTGTGAACTGGCTTAAGTCCAGGGACAGGTTGAGGGGCCATAATCTCTTTATAGAGGTCATCCAAGTCACACTTCTGTTCCCCACGTCTAGAGCTCTTCTGTTTCTAGAAATCAATAAATAATTCACAAGGTTTTCCATCTATTTCAGTTGGATACTATGATCAACTACCCCATGCCAGAGATCTCTGCAACTCAGACTTCTCTGATTTCTGCTTTGGCTTCACTGACCATTACAGTAACCACTGACCATTACAGTAACCACACCCTCACCCTTTGTTTTTTTGCAATTAAGTGCCAGTATTTATCTCTGTCACCTGGGATTCCACTACTCTTGATGAATTCAAGGATCCTAATTTGATGGCAATAGTTATCCTTTCATTAATGGCTTAACAAAAACAGCCAACAGAGCTCTTCAAGGATGTTGTAGCTCTCCTCATGAATGTATTTCTCAGAGCCCTGAGAAAAGGAGTGTTCTCTAGGCCCACCCAGGGGACATGTGTGGTCAAGTTTTTGTTTTTGTTTTTTAACAAAAAATCCACTCAGGGCACCTGGGTGGCTCAGTAGGTTAAGCTTTTGCCTTCAGCTCAGGTCATAATCCCAAGGTCCTGGGACTGAGCCCCACATTGGGCTCCCCGTTTAGCAGGGAGTCTGCTTCTCCCTCTCCCTTTGCTCCTTCTCACTGCTTGTACTTTCTCTCAAATGAATGAAATCTTTAATAAAAAAAAAAAATCCACTCTAGCATTCTAATCTCCTTTGGATAACTTCCTCTACAGTATATAAACTAGGATCTATCTTAACTTTACTTAGTTTAGGCTACCTTTCAGTGTAGTTTTCAATCAACCAACCAAGCAAACTGTTAGAGCCACTCATAGCTCTCTGACTTAATACCTTCAATCTGGAATCTTTGCTTAGTGAGCCCTAATAAATAAATTCAGCCTGATCCAATTTTATAGTCCTTCTGCTCTATTCCATTCCCACACCATTCTCTAGGTAATTGCAGGCGAAATCATTCACACTTCCTCATGGGTAACACCTAGTAGGTAGGTACCTCACATTCTGGGGGCTGTTGGAATTTAAGTGAGGCTACAGAGGTATAAAAGCAATTAGAAGTGGTGAGAGTAGGTCCTGAAGAAGATCAGCAGTCTCTTAACAGGCAACAACCTCAAGGGAAGCCATTATAGATTCCTCAGGAGACTAACCTCCCTCAGACAGGGATAGGACTGGTAAAGGTGGGTGGGCAGAATTAAGGAGTCCAAGTACCCAGCTTCACTGGAATCTGCCCATATTCCCCACCCCATTTTTCAGTTTTTCATTCTTTCCCAATGTAGCCTTAACACAAGAGACCACAAAACTGGAAATTCAATTTGTATCGTAACTCAGCCACCTGCAGGATTAGACTTTGGGTTTAGTTTTCAGAAATCTCTGCCTTTGGCTACAAGAGATAAGGGTTTCCTTTTAGAGCAATCACAGAGGCTTTCACTCCCTTATGTGGATTTTGAGCTCAGAATCTAAAGCCTTTTCCTTCTTTAAGTTCCCCAGTGTACTTTGAAGGGACCATTATTCTTATTTTCATGTTAAAATGTTCTGTGGCAGTAAATACTTGGTCTCCCAAAGCCTTATCTTCTATGGGCACTTGCTTACTAGTGTCTACAGCAGATAAAGTAACTGTTTTGCTATAGGGTGCCATGGATCACTGGTGTCTCCTTTGCCACTTGAAACAGGGCCATTAATGCTTTTAAACCTAATTAGACCTGAGAACCCATTCTGGAAAACCTAGAACTAATTTAGGAACCCATCATTACATTACTGTTCCTCTACAACTACTTAGGATACAGATGTCTGTATCAGTTAGCATTTGAACAGGGAACACTAGGAATGATTCTGAATATGGCATTTATAACAGAGACTTGGCCCTAAGTAATTATGAACTCGGCCAGTTTATGTCCAGCTGTTGACTCTGGTGCTGGGCCTAGCCTAGGATTTGGAGAAGCCAACAGGGAGAATATGGGGGAAGCTGAGGGGCCCTTAGGCTCTCCCATGCCAAGAACGTTTGTGAGCTGCAGTAGCTCCCCGTGTCCCCACAAGGGCCTTCTGAGAATAAGAATATGGCTGCAGTTTCACTTCCACCTTGCAAAATCAAAACACCTCCTTGCTCACGGTAACTGGGAGCTATGCAAAAAAAGGAATTCTGGGAAATGTAGCTCTAGCTTAGCCAATGTGACAGAATACAAATCCACCATACCATCTTTGTCTTTTTTTTTTTTTAAATACTTGTTTGGATCTGTCCCAAGTTTTAACTTCTAACCCTTCTATTATTATTTCTGCTCTCATACTTTCAATTTCCAAGGGGTCTTTCATTTTTTCTAGTCATTGTTAAAAACAGCTTTCCCTTCTTGTTTCATGGTTGTAATATATTCTGGTGCTTTTTAAATTTTTTTCCAGTTTCCCACTGCTTCGTGCCTTTTCTTCCATATTCTCCTTTTAATCTTTTATGTAAGAGGTTTCCCTTACACATCTGGTTATCTTTGCCGACATGTTCATATTTAAAAGGCACTTAACTATTAATATTTAAGGCCTCTTCTCTTGGTTAGTTACTTTTTTCAGAAAGAATGCCTCTAGTCTGTAATCAATTTCTACTCAAATACTACTAAATACTCTTACTGCTGTTTTCTCCTCTCTTCTATAGTCTTGTGTATTTATGATGTTTTCACTCCTTTATTAACATTTAAGGGGAATTTCGGAAGAAGGAAAGATAAAACCATAACGTGCAATTCAACATATTTCACAGGAAGTCCCCGAACACAGCTTATAAAGAGTCAACCTTTAAATCTCTGGAAAATTTAAAAGATTTGACTACAATTTAGATTTATGTTTAAGTTATTTAAGAAAAAAAAAGTTATCTGTTAATCAATGTTATCTGTAAATAACATTAAAAAAAAGATCTCAAAATATAAGGAGCTGCTTCTTTATCTAAAGTAATAACATACTCTAAATTCCAGTGAATCTATGTGATATTTATAGAAAATGTTAGATGACAATAAAGTATGTTTAAATCTCTACTAAGTCAGCTACAATAAGTAACAATGTACACTTCAGAAAGTTATGGTTCCCCTATAGCCTGGCAAAAAGGAAAGGAGGTAAAGAATGGCACTACCTGTGCCCCTCAAGAACATAATGACTAAAACTGTTCCCTTTCATGTCAATAACCTTAATTTTGATTTCAATCAAATTTTCTAATTTATTGCTAAGCAAAGTTTCATGAAAGTCCTTTCTTCTCTTACCTCAAGAGTTAAAATCTTACAGGGTAGGACTCCAGTCTGCTTCTAGACAGAGCATATACTATCCACTTGATAATTTTTTTGTTCTGGTTAGCAAATGAACACTATTTTAAGCAACATATACCACACACATCAATACTATAAGCACCATGTAGCTGATTTGGTACTGTAACCACTTAATTTTAAAAGAATATCAGCATGGGGTAACTGGGTGATGGACATTAAGGAGGGCACGTGATGTAATGAGCACTGAGTGTCACAGAATGATGAATCACTGACCTCTACCTCTGAAACTAATAATACACTGTATGTTACCTGAATTTAAATAAAAATTAAAAAAAAGAAATATTAGCATTTCAAGCCAAATGAATAATTATTCTCAAGAGACTTCATTTATTTATGTTTGTAAAAAAGCACTGAAAGTAAAACTGCATGCTCACATTCCAAAATTTGTACTTTCATAGTTCCAAAATTGCTTTTTATGTATTATGGTGTGATTTTTTTAGATATGTTATGAAGTTAAAATAAAACCTATCTTTATATTCAACAAAAATTAAGAAATATCGTTATGAATGTTAGATCATTAATAAGCTACATGAACTATCTGAAAATACTGTTAATAGGAAAAAAAGATCCTTTCCCATCCAAGGATCTAAAAGTAACACAGGAAATAAAGTTATTAATGTTTTGATATTCCCAAGAACCACAAACAAATCACCTAAACAATATAAACAATACAAACATGCAAACACTCTAAATCTTAAAGTAGGTCCTAATTTACTGTATACGTATCTGTACAGCCTGTTATTAATTTAAAAGCTAATTTCATATATATGCACATATACAGGAAATATATGCATATATATATACATATACTATACATCTATAAATAAATATATATAAAACATCAAACGAACCACAGCAGTAAATTAAGGACAAATTCAACTACTCCCAAGTACTAAATTTTAACTATTTGCTTTTCTTTTTAAATGTCAACAAGTTTATGGTACAAATATTTGAACCAAAATGGTCATCGGTACTTGTTGCTTTTTGCTAGGGTAATACAAGGAGACAGCAGCTGATGCTATTCAACTTTTTCAAGACTTCTGAGAATATCAAATATAAATCTATCAGAGGCCAGTTTAATATATAAGTTGCACAAATAGATCTTTTTAAGGGTAAGAGGCATTTTTCCTTTATTTTACGTAACAGAAAAAATACTAAAGGACAAAAGTCTAAAACTAATTTCTCCAAATTTATTATTATTGTTGATTTATTATCAACAAAAATGGTAACCTGTAAGTGCAAAAGTACTAAGCTTAATTTTCTGAATTTTTAGTAGACAAAAAAACCGCATTTGAACTAAGGAGTTATTCTTCAAAGAACCAGACTTGACTTCACTACCCTCTGGGATTATATGATTATTCTAACAAATTTAAATCCAACAGGTAAGATTTCAGGTTCCCATCTATAAAGAAAGAAGCAGACAAAAAGTAAAGCCTCAGTTTCCAAGGAATAGAATATTAAAAATATAAATGTTTCATACACCATTTTTGTGTTATTTGTGAGGGAGTACAACAAATGAATAAAGGGTTTTAAACAATCCCGATTAGGGTACCTGGGTGGCTCAGTTGTTAAGTGTCTGCCTTCAGCTCACGTCATGAACCGAAGGTCCTAGGATTGAGCCCTGCATCGGACTCTCTGCTCAGCAGGGAGTCTGCTTCTCCCTCTCCCTCCGCCCCTCTCCCCCGCCTTGGGTGCTCTCTCGCGCTCGCGCTCTCTCTCTCTCTCTCGTCTGCGCTCTCTCTCAAATAAAAAAAATCTTCAAAAAAATAAAATAAAATAAACAATCCTGATTAATGCATTTAAGTTATTGGAAGGGCAAATATATCAGCAATAAACTTAAATATCAAAAGAACATATAACAGGGCTTTCTCCAGTTTCGCATTTTTAAAAGAAAATTGCCTTTAAAGTTAAAACACTACAAATAAAAATCAACAAAAAAGAAAGCAGTCTTTAGCTAATTTCAAAATAAGGATCATAATAAAACATCACCAGCTCATTAAAATGGATATTTTCAATTTAGGTTAGCATTACTTGAAGTACTGGCTGTTATATAATACAGTAAAATCTGGGAACTACCTAAGTCTGAAGTCCAAGAAATACAGGGGAAAATATACATACTCAAATTCTCAAAACTAAAGAAGCACCAAGCAAGCAGACTATTCAATATATTTATATCTAAGTGAGGATGCATCTGTATTGAAATTTAAAAATTAATAAATTTTTATTTTAATGCCAATAGATAAATCATAAACTGATTTTATCTGTTTGAATACCGAAAGTACATTTCCCCCTGACCCTTAAACTATGACCTTTCTCAGATTCAAAAATACAATAAAAGAAAAAGACACTTAAAAATCTCTGATTATTGGGGCGCCTGGGTGGCTCAGTTGGTTAACTGTCTGACTCTTGGTTTTGGCTCAGGTCATGATCTCAGGGTCGTGAGATCAAGCCCCATGTCGGGCTCCTCAATTGGTGTGGAGTCTGCTTATCTCTCTCCCTCTGCTTTCTCTCTCTCTCTCTCAATAAATAAATAAGTAAAATCTGTTTAAAAAAATGTTCTTTAAAAAAAAATATATCTCCAATTATTACACACCAGGGAATGTTTGTTTCCAAAATTTGTGACAAACTCAAATGAGAGAGAGAAGCAAAGTTTTGAAGAGATTAGTGGTCAGCATTTCAAATTCACTATGAATCATTAAGACTACTTATAAAATACTATTAAAACCTAAAATAACAATAGTGTTACTATGATGACACAATGACAATTTATTAAGTCCGTTCTTGAGGGTAGAAACTAGCCAAGCACTTCGCATAATCCAATCCTTAAGACATTACAGGTGGGTATTATACCCATTTTCCAGATGGGGACAATTGAGGTACTGTGTTAAAGAACTGGTCAAATATTATAAAACTTAAACAGAGTAAAGAACCAAACCCAGATTTGTCTGAGTCCAAAGCATATGAACTCACCCCAGGCACTGTAATATAGAATTTTTTGTATAATACTAGCATAATAGAAAAGGACAGGAACTTAGATATTCCCATAGCTCTTTCTCAAAGAAGTTATAATATTAAAAATAATAACTATGTGGATGGAAAAAATTATAAGTAACTATTTTTGCAACAAAAAAAAGTATGCTAAGTCATATTTATAGGAATATGCTTCACGATGAAATAGCATGACCCAGTGTTAATAAAATATTCACACACATTTATATACAAAGAGACCAAAAGTTAAGGGCAGTGGGCTGTCCTGTGGTAGGGAAGTAAAAACATAAAAAGCTCTCTACTGAACTAGTTTTACCATATTTTTAAATATATTAAGATTTGGAACCTTGAGGACATTATGCTAAGTGAACTAAACCAGTAACAAAAAGACAAATACTGTATGATTCCACTTACATGAGGTATCGAAGTAGTGAAATTTACAGAATCAAAATGGAGTTATTAGGGGCTGTGGGAGGGGGAAGTAAGAAATTGCTAATGGGTATAAAGTTTCAGTTTTACAAAATGAAAAGAGCTCTGTAGATATGTTGTACAACAAAGTAAATATGCTTAATACTACTGAACTGTATAATTTTCAAATGGCTAAGAATGGGGGAAAAAAAGATTTTATAGTAATACATAAACAGCCATACATAGATACATTATCAATAGAACAGTCCTGCACTAATACAGTAGCTTTTAGCTACATGAAACTATTAAAATTTACATTAATTTTAAAAACTTAAAACTTTTATTTCCTCAATCAGTAGCCATAGTTTAATTGCTCAACAGCTGTATGTAGCCATTCAAGACACCACAGATAGAACATTTTCAACACAGAAAGTTCTATTAGATAGCACTGGATCAGAGTATAAACAAACAGACTCAAATACATATGGGAATTTGTATTCAATACAAAATTTGTGTGATAAAGGTAATATTTCAAATCAATGGGGAAGAAATATTGAGTAAATAGTGTTGGGACAATTTGTGAGCCTGGACGAGAACAAAGGAAGACTAAGGGAATTAAGCTAAAGCTGTATCTCAACTCCTATTCAAAAGAAATTCTGGATGAATCCAAGATTTATACTTAAAAGGTAAAATGATAAATGTATTAACACATAATTCTAATTAAGGAAAGCCTTCCCAAACAGAATGCAAGTCCAGAAGCCAGAAAGATTTTTTAGGAAAATAAAAACTTTTAGAAGAATATAGCCCAGACAAACTGGGG